GGTTGACGTCAATAGAGATTTGGTGAACAAATCAACCATATTATCACTTGAACGAATCTGTTGCACATTGATATCACCACTCTTTTGAAGATCGTGTGTGAAAAATAACTTTGGTGAAATGTGCTTTGTCTTATCTCCTTTTATGAATCATCCCTTCAATTTGGCTATGCATGCTGCATTGTCTTCATACAAAATTATGGGTAGTTTGTCACACTTCAAACCATATTTGTCTCGGATAAGATATATTATAGACCTCAACCAAATACATTCTCGACTTGCTTCATGAATAGCAATTATCTCAACATGATTAGAAGAAGTAGCCACAATTGATTGCTTAGTCGATCGCCAAGATATGACAGTGCCTCCACATGTAAACACATAGCATATTTGAGATTAAGCCTTGTGTGCCTCAGATAAATACTCTACATCGGCATAACCAACAAGATCGGGATTGCAATCATTGTCATAAAATAAGACCACATTGGTAGTCCCTTTTAGATAACATAATTTGTGTTTGATTTCACTCCAATGTCTCCTTATAGGAGCAGAGCTATATCTTGCTTAGACATTAACTGAAAATATTATGTCACGCCTTGTAGTGTTAGCAAGATACATTAGTGCATTAATTGCCCTAAGATATGGTACTTCAGGACCAACAAGTTCTTCATTATTTTTATGAGGTCGGAATGGATATTTATTTATATCGAGTGATCTCAAACCATCAGGGGTACTAAATAGATGTGCTTTATCCATATAAAATCGCTTTAAAATCTTTTCAGTGTATGCTGATTGATTGATAAAAATTTCATCTTTCATATACTCAATTTGTAGACCAAGACAAAATTTTGTCTTTCCAAGATCTTTCATTTCAAATTCTTTCTTTAAACAGTCTACTGCTTTGGGAAGTTGCTTGGGAGTTGTAATGATATTTGAATCATCAACATACACATATATTATAACAAATTCAAATCCAAATCTTTTTATAAAGATACAAGGACAAATTGAATCATTCTTGTACCTTTCTTTCAATAGGTACTCACACAGGCGATTATACCACATGTGCCCTGATTGTTTCAATCCGTATAAGAATTTTTGAAGCTTTATTTAATAAATTTCTTGGAAACATTAATATGCTTCAGAATAATTTTAATCCTTCAATGATTTCCATTATACGCATATCAAGTTTTCATGTATTGCCAGATTAAAACCTAAAATGATTATATCCACCATAAGAGAACATGTCTCCATATAATCAATGTGAGGATATTTACTAATTTTCTTGTATCACAAGTCGTCTTTAAGTCTATCGACTTGAACTTTTTTGCACAAGAACACATTTATACCTTCATTGGCTTTATACTTTCAGGTGTTGGGACTATCTGCCCAACTTCATATTTTTCAAGTGAAATCAATTTTTATTGCGTATTTTTCATTTGGCCAATCATTTATCTGTCCAAATTTCATGACAGATTTGAGCTCAAGATCCCCGTCAATATTAATAATATTGAGCGTTACATTATGTTACCAATATCGTCGACAATCATTTTATATCGGTTAAATTATTACACAATAAAAACATAACTTATTGGGATCTCTTTATCTCATTATTTCAGATACCTGAGCCTCTCACATGAGGCCTTACGAAGTGTTATGTCGTGGTGCTCTTCTAGAGCACTTGCCTCCTGATTATGACCATCTTGAACATTTGCCCATCTCCTTCTTCAAGAAGTTTTATCTTTGGAACCGATTGGTCTGTTACTCTTTATGCGTGCCATAGACTCTGTCCTTCATGGTCTTTATTCTATTTTGAGCATTAACAGCTGAAATATGACATTTAGCTTTGGGTCAGCAAATATGTTTGGCAATAATTTGTAAATTAATTATCAGTTGAACTTCAAGTTCATATTTTCTTATACGAGAATTTATATGTATTCATAATAATTCATTTCACGTATCACTTGCTCAGCTGTCCATTTTCTCTCCCTAATGTTGGGATCACCAACACATTTTCCAACCTTCTTAGGGAACCCATCTCTATGCATTGTGGTGGTATAATTAAATCATATAGCACATCCATATTTTTATATAGAAATTATTTGGTTCCTGACCCTGAACCGATTGTGATAGGGAGAAATTTTAATAACTTGGCTAGATGCGTACAAGTGCTGCTGTATATTAAATAATACATCTCGTACCAAATTTTATTTTTGGGAGTTTTGTTCTCATAACCAATGATTTAGCTATAATTGGAGGCATACAATTTCTGCTAAACCAACTTGGATTTAAACCAGTATTATCAAGATAAATTATCATAATTTATAATTTGGAATTGTGCTCTAATAATTTGAGCATGCAATCTTGCAAAAGTCAAACTGCAAGTTGATAACAAATGCACATGTGACCATAGAATAGATGCATCTATTAAAATTATATAATAGTAAACTGTCCACATGGCAGGTAACTGAGCCCATATATTTATCACCTTTTATTCGTTCCAGAAATCAAGGGATTCAATCCCAACCTTAACTGGTATATCATGAGAATAAGCAATACAAGATAATTCTTGAAGAATCTTTTATTCTTCAATATATGCCAATGTAATTCTCAATTAATTTTTCGCATCATAATTGAACCGGGATGGCCAACCGGTGATGCCAACTAATATTTATTTCAGTAAACTTCTAGTTTACTTGTGGCTTGTGATTCTATCACCATGCTTATACTTGTGTAGTACAAATAGAAGATAAATCAGGTAACCTTTCATATTTACCCGGTATGATTATAGTAATATAAAAGATATTCAATCTTCATTTCATTTATAGTCTCAATATGCCAACCATTTTGGCTAATATATTTGAAACTCAAAGTTTCTTTTGAGACTTACTACAATATCAATATCATGAATAATTTCATCCGAGTAGTAACAAATTAGCTCTTCCGAAGTTCTTAATTAATTTTGTACTACAAGATTTTTTATCACACCATCCATATGGTGTCTCCTTTATGGAGAAAATCATATCATAATTATCATGGTCAAACTCTTCCAAGAATGGAGTATAATCATAGCGATGTGTTTTATTATTTTTCCATACCAATTTGATGGTAAACATTACCCTCACTTTTTCGAGGATATATTTTGAGAATCATTATTGTTCTCCCTTTTTATAATTACCATAATGATGACTATTATTATTTTTCATTTGTCACAACAATGTTCATTCGTCAACCACTTGTCTCTATTTAGACTTATTATGCCAACTACCATATTCACTTCAAGAATGAAGCAAATCAAGTGGGAAAATATTTATGACCTTTCATGAAAAATATATTATTTTTCTTTAGTCATTATAGATCATCAATATGGTACAGTGGAACTCAAACCCAATATCTTACCCATATAAAGGCATGTTAGGCCGTAATGAATTGGGACTTAAACCCAACTCTTATCATCATGGAGCATCAGGACTTAAACCCGATATCTTATCCTTATGGTGCGTTGGGACTTGAGCCCATCGTCCTACTCTCATATAATATTTATCACAAATTATCTCTTTCACTTTTAGGAATGGAACATAATTTTATGTAGCCACAAATAAGTAAATAGAAATGGTAAGAACTATTATCAACAAAAATATGACGGAGTACAAACTCGTGTACTAGTATCTTACATATAAACATTTCAAAACAGAAAGTCACCATGTAGAGTTATTACTATATGATGTGTTACCGCAAACTAATGCATGATGATTACATAAAATATACACAAGAATTGAAACACATAACTAAATATACAACTTCAGGAAGCAAATAATCATGAGTAATAACTATTGCTAGCATATTCTGTTTTTATACAGAAGATGTCAAAATAGACTAGTAAAACATAATGATATCACTTTGCCAACTATCAACATAAAAAAATATATTGCATCTAATTAAATTAGTATGGATCATAATATAATTGACATTATTTTTCCTATACCTAAAGCAGAAGCTTAACGAAATACATTGCATTTGCCAAAATAGAAAACTAAATATACAGTTTTTCACTCGCAAAATTTTTCTTTCTCAAAGAAGCAATAGAATCACATCACGAAGCCAAACAAAATCGGAATAAAATCTCAACATAGTATTACTAACATATTAAAATCCTTGAAGTAATATGGCCATTCCTCCAACATGATCATGTGACATAACTATTATGAGTAAGAAAATCACCTTTTCCAGATTAAAAATATTTAGCTCTAACATGTTTGAAATTTAGTTTCATGGGAACTCTAGGATATAGTAATTATTATCTGCCTAATATACATGTCTAACTTTTGTAGTAATTATGTTATAATTTATAGAACAACTAAAAGGCTATTTAACGGACCAAATATTAGCATCTGATGATCCTACCTTGTTTCATCTGCACCAAACTAATATATAACTCCTTTTCATTTTCATGGCGAGATATGAAAAGACCATACGAAATTTTGCTGCAACACTTCAACTTTTATGCCTAATTTTGTGGCTTACTTTGAAGTTGAAGAAGACCAAAACATTACTGAAAAACATAATGTGACTAAAATAGACAATATAAGCAAACTATCAACATGGCATATGAAATGTCGTAGGATGATATAAATGAAATATTAGAGACTCGTGATGATAACGTGTTATGAAATAAAAGCAATTTAGTAAAACATGAACAAGAAATAAAAGCAATTTAGTAAAACATGAACAAGAAATAGAGATAGAGAGAAGGAAGAGATGTGTATTTTCCTATCTATTACAAGGCCTTTATATAGACATGAAAAGTAAAGAAAATATGTTAGGGAATATGTCATTAAACATAGAAAATATGTCATTAAGCATTTGACATGAAGATCATGGAGGAAGAATAGACATCCATGATATTTATCATAACAATTTTTTTTTTCAAGTCCTTTAAGAAGAATATTAAGGAATTTTTAATTTGCATTTTCCCACTTTCTTGAGAGTGAAAGAAAATGGGAAAGGGAAAAAGGGGGAAGGGGTTTGGAAATATTAGTTGGGAGATAAGGGGGCTCCCTATGCATCCTTCATGCAATCCTTCTTCTGCTAGTGCTTCTCCTTCCTCTCCCGATGTTCTGAACGAGAGCTTCTCCGACCCCTTCTCCTAATCCTTCAATAAGACCTCCAATAAATTCAATAACAACTTGAGAAGCAAGACGAGCAGCAGTCCCAAGCACATTGGGCTTTTCAGGAGGCTTGATTCCATATTCTTGGAGGCCGTTGATCATGGATTTAGCACACATTGCATGAAGATGGTAGTCACAGACTGTGCAGCTGTACACTCGACCTGATGATCTTTTCTTCTTGCACGCACCGCAGACCATTCCTGATTGATCATTACCGCCTCCAGCTCCACCTGATAAAGCATTTCCTGGTGGTAAGACTTTAAGTGAGTGTGGGTGAATGGGAAGCTTAACCTCGGTGGAAAGCATGGCACAACAGGGATGCATTTGGAAATTGCAGGAGTTGACTCTGCATCTAAATGTGAACCCTTTGGTGGATTTGCCGCAGACATCACACCTTGGCCACGTTATTCCAGCTTTAACTGATTTGTTTAGGAAAAGAAGATATGGAATTCTGGGGATGAGAAAAGTATACCAAAGAATATATAACGCATTTAAGCTTGTAGAAGCATGTATCTTAACAAATAATGTACCACTTTGTTTAGGAAGCATGTGTACCTTGTTTAGGTTTAGCATGGAAGACGAGTTGGTGTTGGCCATGGAAAGGATGAGCCTTAAGAGAGGGTGGAGATAAGGCACAAAAGTGATGAAGCTGAAAATCACAATCTTGGCATGCATACCTACGGCCAGCGCCAAACTCCTTGCAACCGGAGCAAGTAAATAGTTCAGAGAGAGTAATCTCAGCAAGTGGGTGCTTTGAGTGAGTATGATGAACAATGGTTCCATTGTGATTAGCATGAACCCCGTCGTGATCATCAGGTGGCTGGGGCGATGTTGGGAACTCTATGTAGGTTGGAGTGGGAGATGGCTGGTTACCACCCTTGGTGTTTGCAGCCGAGGAATGAGCAGAGGCAGCTGAGAATGGCGCTTGTGTCAGCGAGAACGAAGAGGTATTATTGAATCTTTTCATTGCTACTAGAGATGTCCCTGATCTCCTCAGGGGCTTTATGTTGGTGTTCTTCATCATGTTATTGTTTGGTTCCAAAAGCGAAATTCTGAAGAACCTTAATGAGTTGAGCGTGAGCTAGCTCATATATTTATGCTTGGTCGGATGCCTGGCTACAGAGAATTTCTCTTGGCTTATCAAGTTAAATTTGTCGTGGATACAGTAGGTTGATTGACAATGTAGAAATAATCTAATTACGACGAATCATTTGAATGAATAGATATAGATGAATCATAAAGTTGATACAACTAATTTGGAATTGAGGCATAAGGATTGATTTATCCGGTGAAACCAAAATTAGGATGTTCATAAAAACCCGAAAAACCTAACCAAATCGAAAACCAAACCAAATCGACCAAAAAAATCGATACTTTTTGGTTTGGTTTGGTTTTGGTTTTGAATTTTAAAAACCGATCAAATTTGGTTTGGTTTTGGTTTTAATCACAAAATAACCGAAAAAACTCGAACCAATCGATTATAGGAGTAGCTATTTCAAATTTATTATTAAACCTATATATATATATATATTTTTATACAAAGTTTCAAAAATTTTATAGTGAATGTTAATCGTTTGCACTTTTAGTACAGTTCTTTACCTTTACATTCTAGTTTGATTGGTAATTTTCTTCTGTTAAGTGTAAGAATCCATTTCATGTTAAAAAAAATATATTTTTAATTGAGTCCTTAAATTATTCATCACTATTTGATTCAATTATCATCAATATATCTTAGTAAATAATAGATTTCTCAAAAGTCAATTGATTTGATAGTGTTATATTGAAAATATGGTTGCCGGAATATGTGTTTGGTAGTGTATGTCTTATATTTAAGAAAAAATTGACAAATAATTGAAAACCCGATAAAACCTGACATAAACCGAATCGAGAAAAAACCGACTTAATTGGTTTGGTTTGATTCTAATATTTAAAAAATCGACTTACTTGGTTTGATTTATTTTTAAGAAAAAAAAGGATCCAAACGGAATCATATGAACACCCTAAACGAAGCAACAATTACATTTGGTCGATAAAGTCAAAGATTAGCTTTTAAGGATTTCTTTGGGAGTGGACAAGTTTGAATTTTGAGGGAAGATGAGGCCCCTCTACCTAGTCCCTTTTATTCTCTGCAACAACCGGAGCAATATTTTCCAATCAAGCCTGTCTTCTTTTTCCTTTTTCTGTCTTTCTTACTACACCAGTAGACAACAAGAGCCATGGCACGAATCAAAATCACTTTCTGGGAAGATACTTATTCTGGTATAAAGTAGAGGTGTTGAAAATGTTAACAAAGCTGCCTTCTTAATTTTCTTCCCGGGGAATTGCTCAAAAGAGGTGGCCACGTTCAACAAGGGGATTTCGAGTACAATCAAACCTCTGGATAATGGCTTCGTTTGTTCCAAATATTTGTGGACGTGATAGCAAATTGCTGTTTTAGAAAAAACAGAACATGAAATTTAGTTCCTGAAAAACTTTGGCTTATATAATAAAGTGTTGTTACGTAAGGATGTTATTATAGAGAAATTTGACCGTATATCGTAGATTACGGATCAAATTTTTATCCTATTCCAATTTGCATAAAAGCTAAAAACTACTATTGTAGATGGTAGATTTTAGCGGTCTTTTCCTCCGTTGTCGAATCTATAATTTTATATGATTAATAATTTACTGCAGTTGGTTGGACTTTGTGTTCCTATGATACCCAATTATTGCTAATTCCATTCAGGATGCTAAAAAATTAATACTGCTACTTTCTCATACATACATACACACCAATAGCAAACTAACAGCATATATCTTTTTTCTTTATTTTCCTTTTTAGTTACTTGATTTGAAGATAATATATGACATTTAATTATGTTGTGTGTACTTCCAATATATCTGCATAATGTTACTGTAAGGATCAGGAATTTTAATAGTATTAATCTTTTCAAAGTTGTATTATTCGCAATTTATCCCTCTTTCTATCATCTCTCATTCCCACTTTGGTTACGTATTAGTGTCATTTGGTTCTTAAATATGTGAATGTCTGATCTCGTCCAAGTTCACACCTCAAATCAAGGTTATGAAATTACAATAGTGATATCAAACAAGGAGTCGGGATCGAATTCCACGGAGAGTTATGAACAGGACGTAGGAATATATATTGTAATGTATGATCTTGAATTATCTCAATTTACACTTCCACAAATTTGGATTGTTTCTATGTCTAGATTAAACTAAGATTGCAGAATTAAGAAATGAAACTAAGAAATTGTTTTTAGTTGTTTTTCAAATTTTGTAAAAAGCGTAGGGCTATGACCATCACCTAGGTATTTGTCTAATGAGATATAAACCTTAATGCTTGTTTAGTTGGTTGGGGTATATTATAGCTATCGACACTTGATTACCCACTCAATACTAGTGACTTTGTCCAATTTGGCTTTCTCAGGTCCAAATGGATGTTGCACAAAATGGTTGATAAAAGCTAAGTCGAGTTATTACTATCTCTAGGTTGAACCCTTTATTTGGGATTATCAATCTCTCAATTGACCCAATTTCTTGTTAGCCAAGTTTTCCTAGTCTAAGTCTCTTTTTCTCAAGTAGAGACTAAGTGAAATATGCACGAACTAATGTTTGCAACCATTAATTCCACAAATTAAAGCATGAACAAAGCTAACTAATAAACACCCAACTATAAGCAAGCAATAAATCAAACATCCATAAGGTTTACACACTAGGGTTGGGTCACAACCCTAGTATGAATCTAGCTACTCATGCTTGAAATTGGAGAAATAGAAAAATAGATGCTAATTAAACTCATATTGCTAAATCAAAATGACAAAATCTATGTTTAAATATCCCAAAATATAAAAAACTACTAAAAAAATAAAGAGAAATGGCCACTGTAGTTGCTGATGTCAAAAGTTGACCTAAAAATGTGAAATTCGTCTATTTATACAGGGCTGGAAATTTCGGACAAAAATGACCTTTCAGAGGTTCTGCGGCCGCACAATTCCATGTGCGGTCCGCACTTTTCTTTAGCTTGACAGAATTAGAAATCTGCGGCCGCACTATACTCTTTCTGCGGTCCGCACAATTGTAACTGCGGCCGAATAGCTCTTCTCTGTGGCCGCACAATAATTATGCAGTCCGCACTTTTGATGGTCTTGAGATGTAGACTCTCTAAACTTTGCTCCTGACCTAGCTTCTGCGGACGCACAATTCATGTGCAGGCCGCACGTTAAAACTTTTTCTGCTGGCCTTTTCTTCATACTCTGCGGCCGCAAATGATATTCTGTGGTCCACATTGCTGAGCTTCTATACCTTTTGTGTCTTTGAGTTCAGATTACTCCTTCTTGAGTTGGATTTCATCTCGGGAGTTCACTTTCCAATATTCTTGCACACATTTCATCAGTTTTCGGGAACATAATTGAACGCTTTTAGACTAAAATAAAAGCTAAAAGGCGCTAATAAATAGTCAAAATCCCCACTTATCAATGTCGAAGGGCCAAAACTGTCGGTCACTCTCTGTCTTTAACGTCGAACCAGCTCCTCCCTTCCCCCTCCCCCCCACACACACTCGTCACCACAAAAAAAAAAAAGGTGGAAAAAGAAAAGACTATTGTATGTGTAATTTATCTCTTTTCTTATTCACCTGTTTTTCTAGTCCCTGCATCTGTTTTGACTTTACACTAATTAAGTACAAAGTTTAAATATTAATTAACTTTTTATTGTATTTAATAATAGTAGAAGAAAACATAAAATTTATTTTTACAAACTAGTTTAACGAAGGAAACATCACATAAAAATAATAAAATAGATGTAAAGGTTTTAAATCAGAGTTAGGGGTCAATCCTTAATCTCTCTCTTTTCCCTTGGATTAGGCAAACACGAAATTTGCCTCCGTTATGAAGGCATTCTAGTCTTTGGTCAAGCCTAGTTTGTGTAATCAAGAGTATTTCATGTAAATGATAAGTAAAATGCGTCAGTTACTCCCCAACTTTTCAAATAAAGTTATATGTTTCGTAATTAACTTCTAATACTTATGATTTATCTACATGTCCGCTCAAATTGTGATCAATCAGAATCAGATGTTCCTACTTAAACTTTAGGGAGGTCACTAGTCTCCAGAATGCTACCAACAGAATTTTTTGAAACACTATAGTATTCATGTTATCACACATTGTAGATTGAAAATATTATTTTGTTTTAGAAAGTAATAACATTGTAAGAGCACAAAGTACCTTTTATATTTTTTATGACGCCCAACTATGCCTTATGAAAAGGACAAAGTGGTCGTTACAAATATAATCCGAGAATTTGGCCCAGAGCCGAATCTCACAGAGAATTAACCTATCAATTACTTTTGTCAGGCTCGCTGAATTCTCCATAATCAACTTCCTAAATATTTTGAATAACACTTGGTGATATTTTTACTAACTATAACTGAATAAAATTATGTAAACTAAAAACTAACTATGACTGAGTTGTAAACAAATAAGAGAAGGATCTAAGGTTGTGATTTACCCCATTGATGGAATTCCTTCATGTTATGTTTCGTATAGATTTGCCTAATCGTCTCTATCGATCATGAGCACTCTTACTACCGTAATTCTCTCCCGAGTAATTACGACAATTTACGAGACGCACTCTCCCGAGTTACGCTAGCTGACTTTTATTACAGCTCACTGAGATCGAACCCAAGGTTTCGTTGTCCCTAATCCCACCTTTAAACCCTCGGTTATTGATTCCTCATATACTTTGGGAGTGGTGTTGTTCAACAACTACCTAAATATGTACTCTCTCCCGAGTAATACATATTAAATAGGCACAACTAATTGAGGATCCTATCAATTAACTATAACAAGAACGTAGTTGAACAAATAGAGATTAAACTAGGCAAACTATATTGACACAACAAGAAGTTCATCCCTCAACAGGTTCCATCAAAACCCTAGACTAAATAATTAGCTACTCATAATCGTGTTCATAATAACAACAACAAAATTCATTATGAATGATAAAAACAAAATGAATAAAGATAGAACTCGTTGCCAAATTATCCTCATTGCCTCTTGCCTCTTCTTGCCTTGAACAAAACTATAAAAA